GTTTTTGTTTCTTTGCTGTTGTTATTGCTGCTGCTCTGCTGTTGTTGTTGTGGTTGTTGTTCTTGGTGCTGGTGCTGGTGCTGGTGCTGGTTGTGGTTTTTGGTTCTTATTGTTGCTGTTGCTGTGGCTGTGTAGTCATCGCCGTTCCCTTTGCTAGTGCTGTTGCAGCTGTTGTTGCTGTTGTTGCTGTTGATGTTGCTGTTGTTGGTGTTGTTGGTGTTGTTGATGGTGTTGTTGTTATCGTTGCTGTTTTGGTAGTCGTGGTTGTTGTGGTTGTTGTTGTGGTTGTTGTGGTTGTTGCGTTGTGTTGTGGTTGTTGTTGTTTTTGTTGTTATTGTTGCTGGCGTCTTTATGGTCATTCCTTCTGTCTTGTCTTTAGTTTGCAGGCTAACTAATTTCGCACTCGCATCATCAGTTGATGATTCACTTCATTCTTGTCTTTCCTAAAGTTAGTTTCTTGCATTCTTTCAAATCAATTGGTCTTCTTTTTCTCCTAGTTCTTCTCTTTTGGAGTAGTAACGATATGCAGTTCCTTCCCTTTATTTTGCCTTTCCTAACCTTTCATTCCAGAAGTTCTATTATAAGGAGATATTGAAGGTTAGGAAAGGTAGAAGAACGGGAAGGACCAGCATATCGTTAAAATTCAAAGGGAAGAACTAGAGAAGAAGACCAACAGATAGATGAAAGAAAGAAATGTAAGAAATTGTTCTTGTAAAAGACAAGCAAAAAGTGAATCATCAATTGACAATGCGAGAATGCGAAAGAATCTGCAAGCTCGTGGAGGGAGAGCGCAAAAGGAATGACCATAAGGCGAAAAAATAATATATTCCGATGAAATTTCATCATCAATAAAAGCATTTTCTAGATGTAGTTTCGTTGTCCTTTCATGTCCTGCTTTCTGTTTGCCGTGTTTCTTTGCGAGTTGTGCCATTCCTGGCTGCATGCCTTGTGGCGGGCAACGGATTCGGTTGCAGCTGCGGCGGTTGTCACGGTTGTCATGGTTGTTGTGGTTTCGGTTGCGCTTGCGTTTGCATTTGTATTTCGTGTTTGTGTGTGTGTGTGTGTGTTTTCGTGCGCGTGTGCCTGCCAGCGTTTAAGGGTGATTATTGTGCTTTCACGTTCCTGACGATTGCTACTTTGGATGTGCCTCGCCGCTGCATGTTTCCATGCCAGGAGCTGTCAGGATGTCCGACTTGCGGCAACTCCGTTCCGTGCACGGAAGGGGCAGTGAAACCGCTGCTGCCCGTCACAGCAACTACGACCACCACCACAGTCACAACACGCACCACGACTGCAACCTCTATCACCACAAGGACGACCTCTGCCACCACAAGCAGCACGACAACAACCTCTACCACGACCACAGTCTCAACCTCCAGCACCACAGCCTCTACCACCTCGACCTCTACCACCACAAGCAGCACAACTGCAACCTCTACCACCATCACAGTCTCAACCTCCAGCACCACAACCTCTGCCACCTCGACCTCTACCACCTCGACCTCTGCCACCTCGACCTCTACCACCACAAGCAGCGCAACAGCAACCTCTACCACCACCACAGTCTCAACCTCCAGCACCACAACCTTTACCACCACCACGACAGCAACCTCTACCACCACAAGCGCCACAAACACTACGACTACAACTTTCACCACAATAAGTTTCACGGACACTACCACAACAAGTATCACGAATACCAGCACAACAACAAATACCACCACAACGGAAATGACCACAACGACCACAACAAGCTCCGTCCCATGTATTCGTTGGGAGCCTTGTCCTGAGCCAGGTGACGAATGTCAATGGCAGCTGAGAACGTCTTGCTTGCCTCCGTGCCTTGCTTGATTGTCCCAGTACAAGTCCTTGCAATGTCAGAACTTGGCTTAGATATAATGCTTTGGAAATACAGCTTTGCACGGTGGTCTTTTTTTGGGGGTGTCAGTGAACAGCCCATCCTACTCCGACACGAAACCCACACTAAACCCACCACGACCCCACCCAAAACACCCCTAGCCCCCAAACAAACCGAAAGCCACCCAACCCCATCCTAAACCGAAGAAAAAAACACGCATAAGCCCGACCAAGCCCGCCCTCAACCCACGCCCCACCCCATAAAAAAGACACCAGCGTGGGACAAGAATCCCCAAAGGCGGAGGCAGATGTTTCCTCCGGAGATCGCACCTAAGGGCGTGGTACGAGATCACCTGGGCGGAGACCTTGTTCACGGAGGTAGCGTCCAGCAGAGCTTACCGCGCCGAGCTGCCACCCTACAACCAGAGAGAAACCTATAAGCCTTTGGAGACCACCTCGCGCTTCTTTTTGCCCCGGCTGGAGATTACACAAGAGGAGATTATCCCAGACATCGAGTTTTATACCATGAACGGGTTTGAGCCCAGCTTTGACACGACATTTGAGATAGCCACCACGCACTTCCTCGACGACACTCTCTTCGTGTTTTTCTCTGGTTCCAGTGAAGCCAAATATTCGCTGGTGCTCCAGACGCTCACCCGGCGTCTTCCCGTTTGGAGCCCCGCCAGTGGCATCAACGACTGGGTTTTGAACATGAGCAACGTCACCTTCGACGGCGACGAACCCTACAACTACGGCTACGGCGCAGACGGCGAGCGCCTTGAGACAATTCGCTTGGCATTCGGGAAGGTGAAAAGGTGGGAAGGACCAAAGGTTTCAGAAACATTTGCAGAATCAAGAGTGTGACCCCTTGAAACGTTTTGTTTGGCACCTTCGCACTCCAAGGAACTACTGGCAACTCTTCTGGACAGTTCTCGTCAACGAGGCGATCGAGCCGCAGGCTGGGAGATGCAGCTAACAGAGCGCGAGCGCAGCTAGATCGGTCCTGATTTTGTTGGGCGTTCGGTGGGAGCGAAACGGACAGCGAGGGTCCACAGACCACGAAATCAGCACACGGTTCCTGAAAGGGTTGCTTTCGACAGTCCACGTGTCGCGCTGAGTCCCCGTCCTTCAAGTACCAAGCCTTCGGGGAGGATAGGTCCTTCGAGGACGACCCGGTATTTGTTGAGCAGATCTTCGTCGAGGAGACGTTTAACCTCTGCTTCTCGGGTTATGGGTGTTTGGAACCAGAGTCGACCACTGTGGTCATCCAGAGCGTCACATTTACAAATGATACCTTGTTGATCTTCCGAGCTGGTGAGACCGAGTATTCCTTCCGCTTGGTCCTCATAAGCGCCATCAAAGTCTTTCCAGAAAGAAGGCTAGCACAGCTCGCGCCGCCAGCACTGCCTGCACTGCCACCAGTCAGGCGGTTGCAGACGATATTTACCTGCACAGATGGATGCCAGATCCCTTCTGTGTATGTGAATGATGACTTCTGCGACTGCACCAACTGCGAGGATGAAGTGGCTTGGACTTGCGCGACCTGTGGGACTGCGCCTACGCAGCAAGAGCAGGATGAGGCGGTGGGCATTGGCGTGGGGGTCGGGGTGGGCGTCGGCTTGGGCCTTGGCCTCGGCCTGGGTCTGGGCCTCGGCTCCGGCATCGGCGTGGGCGCCGGCGCCGCCGCCGCCGGGGGCGCCGCCGGGGGCGCCGCCGGGGGCGGCGCGGGGGGCGCCGCCGGGGCCGCGGCCGCGGCGGTGGCGGCGGCCTTCGCCTCGGTGGGGAAGCTCGAGCTCCAAGTCCAGAGCACCGACGTTCTGCAAAGTCAGGAGGACGGAGAAGTTTTGCGATGCTCGGTTCATTTCGGTTGGGTTTAGAAAAGTGCCTGGTGAAGTTGAGTGGATTTGCAGGTCACAGATGCACTCAAGAATGCTGTTGCAAAGCTCACCAATGGCGAAGCCAACGCTGCACAGGCCGGAGAAAGGGGAAGAAAGCGGGGGGTTCATCTTCTCCCCGGCTGTCTTTGTTTCTCGGGAAGCGGGTTATTTGCACGTGTTTTTCCTTTGCGCCTTACGCCAATCGGGCCAGGTGAGTCTGGTCTTGGGCTGCGCAGCTGCAATCCGCCGCCTCGGCGAGCACTTGCGGCGACTCGCGCAGATTGTGGGCGTTTGCTTCCAGGCGCGGTTTTTTGAACCTTGGAGCCTTGCCGTTCTTGGTCAAAACGGTCAAAGTGTTTTGGATTGCGCAGGTCAGTGCAGAGGGTGAGGCGGACAGCGAGAGGATTTGCGAGCAACTGAGCAGCTTGAGCACGGCCACTGTCCAGCAAGTCGTGGCCAATGAGCTCATTGGCGCCGGCATCAGCCAGTCCCAAGTCAGTGCTTTGCCTGGGAAAACTTCCAAAGCCGGAAGTGTTGGCATTTTTTGTCGTTTGGATTGCTGCTTTTTGTCAGCTCGTGTTCAGATGTGAAATGGCCCAGGTGTGGTGGACTACCAGGCGGATCCCAACCCCCGATCCTTCAATCCCAACCTGAACGCCGGCGAGGACCTGTTTGCGCCCCAAGCTGGCGGCATCAGCTTGGGGGCCTCGCCGGTCCCGCAACCCTGAGGCCCCGGGCCCTGTGTTGCCTCGTGTGCTCGTGTGGCGGTTGTCAAAACCGTAAACGGGATCCCATTTTGGTTGGTAGGTGAATTCACCACCCATTTTAAAGCCTATTTTAGTGCGTTTTAGTGGAGATTGGGATGTTCACTGGGGGTACGATTTGGGTTTTGACCCATGGCAGTGTCACCCCCCTTCAAATCAAAGGGGGAGTAATGTCTAGGTTTTCTTTTAGGCTCTCGCCTGCATGGTCTATGGCGCATGACTGGCAAAGATCAGATTTGTTTTGCCGTGGTGGAACCTCCCACATAGAGTCACAATAGCAATGTGATTGCAGCGTGACTCGGACCCTGCAACCATTTCAAATTCCCATGCATATGTTCTGTGACTCGGGCTTGCCATTCGGAATGCTCACTGCCTTCACAAAGCTGAAGCGCGAGCACTTGAAGCTTCGCTTTTGCGAAAAGGCGATGCGAACATGTTCCCCGCGCGAGAGTCGGCTCACTCGCCGACTCGCCGACGCAATCGGATGGCTCTTTCGGCCTAGGCAGCGCCCTGCGCCGGAGGGTTCCGAGGCGGGCCCGACTGGTTGAGGCGCCGACGAGTGGTTCTTCCTTAACCTAGGTCCTTGCAGTGCCCTTCTCTTCCCTTTTTTTTGGGGGGAGGGTTCCCCTACTAACATAGACAGAAAGAAGTTGGTATCCTTATTCTAACCTCTCTGGACCCAACATCGGGAAGGGGAACAGCTTCCGGAGCTTTTCTCAGGCCTGGGTCCTGGGCTTCACTGCGGGCGCTGCCAAGCGCGCGGCAGAGCAGCAGAGGCGCGTGGAGTTCACTCGGGAAGCCGATGGCCGGATGTGACATCGGGACCGGAGATGTGTCCGATTGCACATGGGTGTGTCCTTGTTTGAGGGACCTTTTGCTGATCTCAAGGAAAACCGCCATTTCCTAAGGTCATGAAAGGCAAACGTGTGCGTTTCTGGGTTTCTGGGAGACTCAGGTGTGAGGGAAGTCGGACTTGGTCGCAAGCCTGCCAGGCTCCACGTGAAGCGAGCCCGGGCCTCAGCGAATCTGCGCGAAGGATAGGTCAAAGAGAGCTGTCAGGTTGCCAAACGCACAACCCTAGCCCTAGAGACGCTTCGTGCCTAAGGTCCACAAAAGGGCCCCGTTGTTCAGCGCATCAAAAGCCACAAGCTCTGGCTCGGCAAAGGAATTTCAGATGAACACCCCGGAGGGCTTGGCGAAGAGCTTTGTGCGCTGGGTGCCGTTTAGGCGATCGCGATGAGAGGGGGAGAGCCCGAAAACCGCGTC